TAAGAATTTCTTTATTGTTAAATAAGACCAAGTCTTGCCCAAGGTCAGATTCAAAGGAGGATTTTAGTTCAAGAAAGAATTGCAGCATTGAATTATAGAATTGGGAGGCATACCAGTCCGCTCAAGAAACTTTGAATCATAATTGGATCTTAACGAAAAATTAAGACTGCCGTACAAGTTAAAAAAATGGTTTGGGATTGTTTTCCAAACCTCGTTTCTTTTGTCATCTTTAGCTAGAAGTCGCGATATCCAAGCTAGCCTTAAGGATTTTGTCATTACATCTGCGTTTGGAACACGCAATCCTCCTTTTTCGTAATTTTAATACATTACTTGACGGTTAATCTTATCTTTCCTTTTTTTCCAAATGAACTGAAAAATAGATGTGTTAATGGTTGGGATACAATTCGTAGGAACATCTAGAATTGACATAGAATAGACTAACTGCGGGATACCGAGGCATTTTGTGATTAAGCATCTGCATCCCAATATAGCCCGCGGAAGATAATTTAGTGGTGAACAATAACTTGAAAGACAATAGAGTTTTCATGTCTCGGAACTATCGGTCTGATAGCTGTCCCTTGGAAATTTGATGGTCTTAAAACTAGCATATTTTATATTTGTTTTAAGAACATCAGCGTAGTTCGAGGAAAACTTTGAGCTTTGAAATATCTTTGAAGTAATATCGCTTCAACTATTTTTCGCGATAAATGCAGTTTTGAAATTGGGCAATATCACTCGGATATTCCCCAGTTTTAGCAAAGGATACTCAGTCACGAGACGCGTTTAGAACACTCGTGCGTGAGCGAAAATATCAATTTTGATGGATTATAAGGACCTTTATACCATGCTCTACAAATTTGGTTAGAGTAATCGTGATTTTTGGTAGCGTTTTTATTTTTATTTTAGTCTTGTTGTGGCGACAAATTTAAACCCTTTTTTCCGGAAACACCTTGGTACTGGAAACTGCCCTTAGTGATTGACGTGAAAATGACATCATCAGGTGGACAGGAATTCTTTTCCAGCTGCCTGCGGGGGATCTTGCGGTTAATTTCGAAGATACCTGTCAGGAACGCTTTTGAAAAGCAGTTCAATATGAAAATTAATTAAATGAGTGAAGGAAGAAAACATTAACGTTTGGACAATGTCAAGATATCATTGTTATGTTAACACACACACACAAAAAAAAAACATAAAAAGAGAATTTAAATGACAGTTATGGAAAAAAAGCCTTACGTAATCAAAATTTCTCTGATTGAGTCTGACTAAAATATAAGAAATGCTGCATATCAGGGAAATATAGCAAAACTGTTTTTCTACATGGAAGTATTGCTTTCGCAATTATCATTTGAACTTACACCGGAAGTCTTCACGCTCATTTTCATATTTAACCGCTACTCCGCCTAATTTATTCTCTTTCATTCTGTGATCACAACGAAAAGAGAAATAGATGTTAGGTTGGAACAACGTTTAACAAAACAGACCGATCTCTGGATACCCCGACAGTAGAAATTGCAAGAACGTCTCGGCTTCAATACTGGAGAGAGGCTGTATTAACTAGTGCTGATAAACATTGTTTTGGGGAACTGTGAGGCTGGCAAAGAAGCTACATCCAAGAAAATGGAATACAATTCTAAAACGTTCATTAAAAGTATCTTAGTGATCGTTGTTTTGGGTAAGTTTAAACTTGCTTTCTTATACATTTTTAACAACAGAGTAGATTGCAACGAAAGGAATTGTCTTTGTACGTTGTGTAGTATTGCATATACTTATAACTTGAATACCGCTCGTTCCTGCAAGCTTTTTTGAGCAAACCATAAAAACTACCGCAAAATACAAGCAGAGCTTGTCGCTGTTAATTGTCAATCCGCTCTCCACTTATCGCACTGAATGTAGTGCTGACAGCGTCTTAAATTTTCCTTCCAAGTCAGTTAAAATTTTATTCCATTTTTCCAAGAAAATCTCTTGTCATTCATTTTTTTTTTTTTTTTTTTTTTNCCCAGTTGGCAGAAATAGGAAATAAACACAGTTGAGACTTACTTGAAACCTGAGTAATCTTCAGCAATTGGCTGCTGTTCAGACAGCGCACGAAAACCGCTTAACAACACATCTTCGAAGCCACTAAAAATGAAAATGTAGCTTTAATTTTCAAATGGGCTTTTTCTAGGTTTAAAATTCTCCCGCGCAAGTAGCAGCCACTGCTCAGCATGGATCTCTATAGAATTACGTCATTAGCATGGAATTTTTCGGGTCTAGTCTCACTCGTCTTTCGAGTGACGTAAGAGATTTAACGTGTAAAAAGAAAAGTTTGTCCTGTGAAGCTTGAAGGGAGAGTAACGCAAAATGACTCCTGGAAAAAGACTAGATAAAAGGTTTTCTTTCAAGGTGGTTCAAAACAGTTTTCTGTTCTTTAGAGACTTATAGAACTAGGTGCGATTTTTCAGACTTGGAACTGTACTGTTTAGAATGGCTGTGCTATCTTTTTAAGGTAACTCTCCACCGTACCTTTCATTGTGTTTAATTCATAAATTAAGTTTGCAGTGTTCCGTTGCATAGCAACAAACTTGACCTACTTTTTACTATCAATTGCATTTATCTTGACAACTAAGCCGGTGACCCCACGTTTTTTTTTTGTTTTTTTTTTTAACAAAAATCCATTTATTAGCCAAAGAAGAAGAAACAGGGAAAATTATAAAAAATTCTGTGGAGTAGATTTTGCTTAAATTAAAAAAAAAAATGGAAATTTCCAAGTTGGAGAAATTCCACTCCACATTTTTTTCTAAAACATTTCGCACATGCATTCCGCTTTTGCTGTTGAATTTTTTTTTTTTTTTTGCATTAAAAAAAAAAAACCACGATGTGTTTGAAATTCATACATATCTTGTATTAACAAAACTTGTTTCGGATGAAACATCATCCATCGTCAGTTGTACAAGAATACCAATGGAAATGAGCGATAAATAGTTTAACGATGTGTGATGAAAATAAAAATACTTCAGGATTAAGGAGCGAAACAGACAAGAGCGAGAATATTACCCCAACATAACACAAATTAATTAGTATGAAAGGGATAAATTAAGATGTTTAACTTGGAAATAAAGAAGGGTGCTCCCAAAGGATGTTCAAGGCTTCCTTGATTTTTAATTGGAGGCTAGTGGAAGGCGAGTCAAGAACTTCGAAACATTCTTCAGAGCATAGGCAGCGACAGAACCCCTTATGTGTTAGAGATGTTCGCGGATGCGGGTGGCGAAGTTTCTGTCGGTTTCACCAACATAATTGGCGCTACAGCCTGCGCACGAAAACTTGTAAACAATTCGAGATCGCAAGCCAGAAGGGATAGGATCCTTGATCTTATACAAACTCCTTAATTTAAACGGGGCGAACACCAGCCGAGTCAATCGAATGTTCAAATCGCTGGAAAATACTTAAGTAACTATTTTATTATTATTATTATTATTATTATTATTATTATTATTATTATTATTATTATTTTTAATTTTCGAGGCCTTCTGTCGAGTTGCTATATTGATAAAATCATCTGTTTCTTTTCATGAAGACTCGTTCTGGGTAAAATTATCAACATTAGTGTTTCACTTAACAAAAATAATAGAGAAGAAATAATTCAGTCCTTAAAACATAGCAAGAACATTGCAACAAGTCTTAAAGGAGAGGATTCTAATAATGTGAGATGACAGAGCTAGTTGAAGTTAGCAATATTCATTTTTAATTGTTTGATATTGAGCATCAAGCCATTTAGAGAAGCCCTGTGACAGCAGATGGGTTTTTCTGAGTGCAAGTGGTCGTTAGGGAATGATCTAAATAAACCAAACAGTTGAGGCAGATTTGATATTTTGTTTTTGAATCCATTAATTAAGGGTTTCATAGTTAAAGATTTTATGTTAAGATACCAACTAATATATAAATATATCACTAAGTTTTTGTTTTTGCTTAATCCCGCACAAAACTCACAATTACATGTAGCTTGAGATATATTGATATTTTGACAGCTTGGCTTCAGCGCGTCACGAAGTCAACCCATCAGAAAGCTCATCTTCAGTTTCCAATTTGTTTACCGTATTTATCAATTATTGTCGTGAAAGTTGATGACGGGTCCCCGAGGCTTAGGCGTTGATTTGTTGGGTTTAATTACGGGACGTGAGCTAACAGACCTTTTAACCGAAAGGGCCGCCACTTTGAATACCGTTGTTGCAAATAGCTATTATGGGATGCCCAGGGGGCGAATTAGTTTGCATTTACCCCCTGGATATCTCATAATAGCTATTTGAAACAATGGACGCAGAATGGCCACCATATCTGTAAGAAGGTATATTAGCTTACTAGAATTTGGAAGCGGCTCAAATGTATTAAAGATTTTTAAAAGCAACACTGTATTATTTACTGTGCTCAGACTTGTTTACCTCTATTGAAAAACATGAACACTGTAAAAACTTACATCACTAGAAGTAAGCAAATCACGTCTCTTTTTCTTTGGTCATCGTAGCTTAAAAAAAAAAATAACACGCAAACTCCCGCGATAAACATGACAGTTAAACGCATTGTTAGAAAAAAAATCGCAATCAACATTTTATTTGACGTTTCGTTTGTTTCAATATACACCTTCAGAAGTGAACGTTGAGAAGAGAAGTTACAAATATATTGAAATGTAAGATAAGTAACTAATGAATATTATAGGACAAGAGTCCTTATAGTCTCTTGTTAAGGAAGAGTAAGAATGACAGAAGCTGAAAACATTTGCGTATTTAAAACATGCAACCTAATAAACATAAAACCTTTTCCCTGGTTAACATTATCATTTAGGATAGGTTTCAAATCCCTCATAAGTAGAGTCTCCTTTATCTTACAATGGCTATCTGACCCTCCTCTTGCTAGTATGTTCGTACGTGCAATTACCCGTTGTAACTGTTTTTAAATCATCTTTTGTAGATTGCGAAAACAATGTTTATTCATGCAGATCCTGCCTTTACAAAAAATGGTAGCTTAGATTACGAACATACATCAACTGAGAATGTTGATCACCAAATTCCATAAAAAACTAAAAATTATTCACCGAAATTAATTAAAACTTGGGCAAGCATTGGAGGCCAATGTAATCATAGTCGTGTTCTGTGCTCTTGTTACAATATTTAAGAAATAGAAAACATGTACCGTGTTTCTGTCGAGTTAGAGAAACACCAGTGGAAGTTTGGGAGAACGAGAAATGCTGTGGGAACACTGGCCGCAGGCGAGTGTTTCCACAGCTTTTTTCGAGTTCTCCCAAACTTTTACTAGAACATGTTTTCTATTTCTTTGAGAAAACACCGCGGCGACAAGGAAAACAGGAAAAGGAAAACAATTTGTTAACTTTGATTATCAAAATGTAAATTCTCTTTGCTCGCGCCATCATTACGTCGTAAGTGATTATACGTGACTCCTGCCTATTTCTTGACTACATGTTACTCACTTGCAGGAATTCTACTATCATGTGCCTCAGACCCACGGCAAGGTTATCATCCTAACTCTTACCCCAACCGGTACTCTGACCCTAACATAACCTTAAACCTAATCCTAAACCCTGCTCTAAACCTTCAACCTAACCCGAACCCGAACCCTAACCGCCGACGCCAACGCTCACGTGGACATCGACGACGACGGCGACGGCGAGGACGTTCAAGCTTAAGCTCAGGCCGAAGCTCAGGCCGAAGCTCAGGCCGAAGCTCAGGGCGAGACTCAGGCCAAAGCTCAGACTCGGACTCAGAATCACCAGCCAAAGTAACAGCCACAACCACAACAAAAGTATTCTCAACAATTTCAATATCAGCGACTCCATTGTCATTAGCTGGAGCATTGACTTCCTCAGCAGCATTATCAGCATTAGAATCAATATCACCAGTGAGAACATCGTCAATAACATTGATGCCAGTTTCATCGTCACCATTATCATCAACAACGAAAACAACAGCAACAGCATTGACGTCATCATTGGCCATGACATCATCTCCGTCACAATCATCAGCATCACCATTTACGTCATCGGCAGCATTATCATCATTAACATCAACCCAACGGAGATTAATAACAGGAACAGCGACACTACAACCATCGGCAGCAGTATCAATACCCTCGTCATCTCTAACAGCATCAAAGAACAGCAGCATTGAATTTAAGTCTCTGTCTAGCGCAGAAGAATTGGTATGTAAATAGATTTGCAATAATTATTCTAAAAGTCTGCGTACGAGCCAAGTGGCCCATTAGGCCGGCACTAATACCTCCGGTGCTTATCTCTTTATCTCCTGCGCAGGTCCATCTGAATTTTGCAATAGATATATTTATTAAACAAAAATCTCCCGTTTCTGTAGCAAGAAGGAACTTGTAGTATTTCCACTCCTCCTTAGATAAGATGCTGGTCCATGGCAAGGATTAATCCTCCATCATTAAATTCGCTGGTACCCATTTTTACACCTGGATGGAGAAAGGTACTGTGAGAGTAAAGCGCCTTGGCAAAGAAATCAACACAACGTCCACAAGCTCACCTTCTGTGTTGGTGTCAAAAAATCTTTAAACCTAGCTACTTGATTTATTCACTTTTAGATTGCTGAATGAGTGAAAGTGGCAATATCCTAGGATATGTTGTCACTTTTGACTATGATTCCTAATTGAAAATTAGATTATGAGCTCGAGATTTCTATGAGGTGATCACCTCATAGAAATCGAGAGCGAATAATCTAATTGTTTTAGTAGAATTCTTACTAAAATTTACTTCAAATAACGGTTTCCAGTTATTTCTTGATGTATTATTAAACTTTGCGCCTGAAAAAGATCACTCGGATTGACTTGTCATTTAAAATTGAAGTTGTGTACGTGCGCGCATCAGTTTTTTTCAATAATTTCAACTTTTTTAAACGTCAAGAAACCGAAAATATCCTTCATTTTGACTTCTCAGAAGTGTAATTATCCATTTGCATCAAAATTTTCCTCCAAAACTTTGGAAAAACGAAAAAAAAAATGTCGCCATTCCCTGGACGACCTCCAGCCACTGCATACTAATGGCTGATAGTGTTCAATGGCTCAGCCAATCAGATTACAGCATTTGCATTAGTATACTAGTAGAATTCTACTAATAACTGACAGAATTAATTTTACGTTATTTATATAGATAACGCCTGAAAGATTAGCAGCCTAACTTTGATAATTTCTTTTCTAGGTGATGAAGTTGAACACAATTGATTTCCAGCGAGAGACTTCGTTACAGGTATTTTTGACTTCTAATAATTAACCCTTCCAGAGCCAAACGGACGTTTTCGTCCTTTGCGGGGTCATGCACTTTGTACCACTTGTGACGTCATCAATTTAGCCGTCATTAGATATTCTTGATAAGCAGATAAAGCTAGGATAGATCTATCCGCACAACTGTCCGTTTTGGATATCAACCACATTCAAATGCAGCTAGTTGGCTTATGCGAGTGCTCCAAAATAAAACATGTACATTTTGGTACCTAATCGTCAAGAAAATATTGAAAGCGAATGCCATACACTTTGTACAATAACAATTTGATGGATGATATATATAATTTCAGAGAAAAATATCTCAAAGAATATCGAGTGAACAACACAAATATCAATACTCAAAGAAGCAAACTAGCATCGTATAGTTATCCGGATACAAAACATCTTGACTAAACCCTAAAAGCAGACTTAACCGAAGAAAAAACAACCTCTGTGCTCAACACGAATATTTCACTTGACTCACTTCGCCATTCCAACACCTTTGCCACAACTTATCGTAAATTCGGGATACGGATTTACAAGCGTATGAGAGGCAACCTTGACACACTCTTTGACTTAAATTGACTTTAAAGGATATAGTATCCAATGGAATTCTTAAAATGCCGATAAGAGAAGGGCCAGAGAAGCGAAATAAACCCGACGTTGTTGCCACTACGGCAAAACATCCCGACTCACGTAGTCAGATTTCACGCTACGGTTGGATGCAACCGACGTACATGCGCAGTGTCTCATTCTGGGGAAAATTTACTCCCGGCAGCCGTATCAGCTCCAGCCGTAGCAATTTGCTTAAAGTCCCTAATGTCTCACCTCCGGAACGAGCGGCCGGAGTTCCAGCTCTGCCCAGAGACATTGTGCCGTGTTCTTACGCATAACACGTTACTCTCACAGTACCTCTCTCCACCCAGGCGTATAAATGAGTACCAAAGAAAATTATTGCTGGGGGTAATAATCCTGCTCTGGACTAGCATCGCATCCGGAGGGGAGTAGAATTACTCCTACACGTTCGTGCTACTGAAACTGGAGATAAGCGCTAGGCTGATGGGCGAATTGGCTCGTATGCAGACTTTACCTACCTACCAGACATCGCTCTGGATAGCACTATTTCAAAAGAAGTAGGGGACAATAAGAACTTTTGCGCGTTGCCCATAAAAAGAAATAACATGTTAAGATGTCATTTTTATTTCACCTTACTTAGCTAAGCCGAGTTATTTCTCGTGCGGGAGGTAAACCAATTTGGCCAGTTACACCCACGACTGAGGGGTTGAACTAGGGTCTACCTTCAAGAAACCCTAACTTAATTTCAAGCCCGGTTTCCTCAACCGCTCATAGCCTTTTTTATTCCACTTTTTAGGAAGCTGTCGATTTGTTACAGAAAGCCATCGAACAGTTTGGAAATGAATCTTTCCAAGAAAGACGTAATGGAATTTTTTTCAAAGCAGCCATTGCTTTGGAAAACTTTGTCGTCAAATACGGTCACCATCACCTCAATGAATCAACCCCTATGCTTAACAAAGTATACAGCATACTTGGTTAGTAAAAATCTTAATTTCAATTACTCCGATATGGAGATTAACATTACGTTGTACCTGTAAACGTACCTGTTCTTTTTTTTTTTTGATAACGGAAGCATGTAAATCTTTATGGCTTGATAAAATTAGTAAAATAAAACGAAAGATAAGAAATTAGTGATCGACGGGACTACTTAATATTAAAGGCTTTTAACCTCGAAAGACATTTTGATTCTATATGTATTGCTTTACACTAGTGATGTGAAAACTAAGCTAATGTATTAATCCAGAGTAGGAATGTATTTATTTATTCCTTCCTTTAAGGTGACTATGAAGGAGACCAAAAAGTTCAGTTTATATTCAGTCAGCCGAACCTTTCCCGAGTTCATGGCTTCAAAACTATGAATTATTGTCGTAGAATCCGTGAAGGTTCTGTGACTGTGTAACCAACAATTATCATGTCGTGAAACATCAGTACTTCCCGTATAAATGCTTCTTATGTTAATCGATATCATTGTGTGTTAATTTTAAGAATCATTATACAAATACGGCTTATTTGTGTGCAGATTTGTCCCTGGGTGGTAGGTTTAACAATCTTCTTTTCTTAACCAACAGATCTGCGTATTCAGAAAGTTTTCAGTCGAAATGCGAGCGATTTCCATCTCAAGGGATCAGAAAAACAAAATTTTATCAGCATTCCCTCCGATAATTTCCATAATGGTTTGTAAAAATATCTTCCTGGGAGATAACTCTTAGCAGAACGCGACAATCAGTTAAATTGTAATAGGTTCCCTCCTTCCCCGTTCACCACGCTTGCACAAAGCCATCAAGAGAGTCACTTGTCTTCTGGATGGTATGTAAGTCCAGAGTAGGTTAACCATCCCTATTTTCATCTGACTACTATGGCAATTTCCTTGGGCAAATTCGTTCACGTATACTTGACTGAATAAATTCCCGCTGGGGAGAGATCAACCCTTATTTTATGGCACCCGCAAGTAGGTTAGATGAACCAAGTCCTCCCCTGTGATTGGCTACCCGTTCAGGCAATATTGAGCTACCTTGTCTGCAGGGTGCAAATATTGGTGCCCTCCTTGCCGCATAGTACATCTTTTGTTGACCAAGCTTGACCAGCTAGATATTGGAATATTCTTAATCTGCGTATTTTTATGGGTAAAAGAAGAAACAAAAGGAACTTTGCAAATATCCAGCCGATTTGATCAGGACCTCACGCTTGTTCAATAAGCCATAAGAGTTATCACTATACCATCTATAAGCGCTATGGCTGGATATCCAGCTTGAATTCAACGACAACGGTAACTTTACGCCGTTACGTCTTTATATTTCAGTTTTATATTTATTTCATACTAGGTTCAGTGATGGTGGGGATCGTCTACAGAAATCTTCATGAAGAACTGATATCTACTGAAAACAACAGGTAAGCTTGCAAAGCCGATTAGTGAAAAATACAATCATTGCTAGTTTGCATCCGTATATCAACTTTGCACTGGTATAACGTTTTCTTCTTTTTTTCCTTTTTTGCACTGGTCTTACACCTGATCTACACTGCTCTTAGCCAAACAGAATCGAATAATTTCTTATGTGTATTATTGTTTATTTATGTCTTTATCTTCTTTTTTTTTATCGGCCAGCGATATGTTTATTGGAAACTTGTTAATGCTCAGACTACCATTGGAAATATCTTGAAGTGTTAACTCTCTATACGATACTGCTAACTAAAATAGCTGTATTCGTGTTCCACTTAATTTAGGAAACTCAACACCATGATAATGGCAGCTGCAATGGATCCAAAACCAAAACAACTGCAACAGAATATCACCCTGAATTTCAGAAACCTGAAGGTAACAAGAACGAAACAAATAATCAGTTGTTTTGTGTTTGTTTTGTTTCATTATTTCCTCCATTCATTTTTTATATTACAAAGGTAATAATCAGTTTAAGTTAAGATCCTTTTTGTCTTTTTCAAGGATTAGCGCGTAAAGAAATTTTGTGTATTTTTTTTTTAATTTAGTCTATTCATGAAGTGATCAAATCTGTTTTCAGGCTGGAGACGGTGAGAGATTTTGTACGTTTTGGAGCGGCTATAGCGAAGAAAGGTCAGTTCTATGAACGTTGTACTTGGCTTTACAGATATTGGTTTGAGGACATTCAGACTTCGCTTCCCATTCAAACGAATGCAAGCGGATTATGTTCAAGATTCTCGTGCTCAAAACTTAATAAGAGCTAACAGTAAGGCAAACATTAAATTTTATTCACTCAGGGCACTTCGACCAGCAACAGCAATCATTCATTTCTAATATCTGTGGATATGTTACTATTATTTCGTAATTTCCGTGTTGTAGTTCCATATTTTTATCCTAAATTAAAGCATCGCATTTCCAAGTGTCGTATTTCCTCTGATTAGGCCCCTCCATTGACATCTCATGATGAATTCCGCCCGCCCTTAACAAGCCTTTTCTTTAAGAAATGTATTATACTACATGTATACCTCCGTAAGGTTTAACGTTTAACGCCTCAACGTGAGGATTAACGTTTGACGTGAGGTTTAACGTTTAATACCTCAACGTTCACTTCGGTCAGGTAGTTCAAAATTGCTGTCTATTCCTAAAACTAAAACGGCTTCCTACGGCGACAGATCTTTTTCGGTTATCGCACCAAATCTTTGGAACGACTTGTCATTTTGGTGTTCCACCGTGGACTGTTTTAAATCAAGATCGAAACCTTTTCTTTTTAAGAGAGTGTTCTAATATTAGGGCTTTTTGATTAGGGCTTTTATATAAAAGGACTGTAAAAAACATTGAGACTTTCATGTGATGTAAAATGCGATTTTAAGAACGTATTTATTATTATTATTATTATTATTATTATTATTAATAGAGAAGAAGCCATCGGTACGTCAATCACGCTAACAATATGAGCGCGATCAATTTTGAAGTGTCGATCTATTATATCGTCCTTGACTGCACAAATTAATGTGGAAAAAGCCAGCGACATAACACTGAATGAAGAAAAAAGTAAAATAAAAACACTACCTCTCGTATATTTTTTTTCCCATAACGCTTTCCAGTAAGATAAACATTTTTTGTTTGTGACATCATTTTTTGCAGTCCTGATGGATGGTCAGAGGAAGGATGCCATTTTGTGAGATCGAAGAGCAGCTCAGTACAAACAGAATGCGGCTGCAATCATATGACTCACTTCGCTGTTTTATTCGACTATGGTGATAACCCTGAGGTATAAATATTTACGAATGTTCGGTATAAAAAGCGAAGTTATGTAGCGAGAAGAAATAGGAGTACAGAGGCGGATCTAGGATTTTTCCAAGAGGAGATGGGTTGTACCTTTGGGTTGTAGAGTTAATAGGAAATGCCCGGCCCCCAAATGTTTTTGAAGTTGAGAATTGGAAGAAATACAAGGAGTAACGGAATTCGACGTTTCGATAGATCCACCATCATTGTCAAGAATGAAAATCGTTAAATGTAAAATTTGAGAATTGAACCCTAATTTAAAATTTTATTTACACCACAACTGAATACTAACAACGCCACAAAGACGAAATAACATCGAGGTAATTGTCCAGAGTGTTCCCTTCTTTTCTGCTATAATATTCACAACCTATTTCATTTTTTTCTATTTTTTGTTTCTTCAAAGAAAGGGGAATGAGGGGTTGTGGCCTGCCAGCCAATCAACCACCGTCCCCGTAAATTCGCCCCTGGAGTAATATTGTTTTTAAGATACTCTAAATCACTGGCCTTCTGACACCTGTTCTCAAATTGGCAGATTACAGAGGCAGATGAGAAGATATTGACGATTTTTACCTACGTGGGCTTATCTCTCTCCATCGCGGGGTTAATTCTCACGATAATCGCGTATTCTCGTTTCACGTGAGTAGTTAAAAATACATAACAAAGGACACTTCGAATGTTTTGTATAGACTGGTCAAGATCAAGGTAAAAGACTTAATCCCCCATATAGGCCTTCTACCCAGGGTAACACCTCTTAAGTTATTTTTAGACAAGATACCCAGTTCTTCGCGGATGATACTCGCGCGATGCGCGGACAGCCCAAGGGACGCACATGAGACTACTCAAGACAAAATGGAGGGAAATATGGTGTAAAGTCATTTCATACGTTTTGATTTTCAAAAGACGTTTCATAGCGCGGATTACCTTGGGTATAAGGTCAATATGGAGGATTAACTCTCTTGACTATCTTCTTAACTATCTTCTCTTGATACTCCCTATAAAACAAAAAGCACGGTATGATGGACTGCTCGGAGCATAGTTAAGATACTA